GGAAGGAGGGATGAGAGGAGCGAGCGAGCGAGGGACAGTATTGAAAGGAGAGAGGGAGAGAGGGGAAGGAGGGAGAGGCAGGCAGGAAGGGAGTGAGCGAGCGAGTGAGCAGCGGAGGCAAGTAGCCGCTGGCTGCATCAGGATCGCCTCGATGGGCCTGCCCGGGCCCATGCGCAGGCCCGCTGCCCGCCTTGCGGTGCAGTGCAGCATTCCCCGCGCGAACACCGAGAGGGCCCACGAGCACCAGAGCGAGGCCGACGAAGGGCGAGGAGGGCGGCAACAGGCGCTAGATCACCGACGGTTTCGACGAAGCCACACAGGCCGACGGCATCGGTATCGAGACGCTGGCGGCCATGCGGAAGCGAACCGACGGCAACGCTGCGCCGACGGCGGCCGGAGCTGAAGCGAAGAGGCCTCATGAGGCAGAAGAGAGACCCTGGCGCGGTTGAGCTCGAGTGCAATGGCCAGGGCGCCCCGCACCGGGCTGCCTGTGGACCACACCTCCGCGCCGTCCAGCACGCTCTGAAGCCCGACGGGGCATAGGCGGGGAGGGGGGGAGGGAGGGGGTGAAGATTGGCCTTTTTTTCTCCATGCTGGGCGGCGCGCGCCATGAGCATCGGCCTCGTCGCGGCGTCTGCAGGGCCGCTCCCGCGTTGCGGGGGCCGCTTCGGGCTCCTCCCGCAACGCCATCGCGTGCCGCTGAAGGCACAGGTGCGCGTCGGCCCAAGCCACGCCGCAAGTCCCTGGAAGTGCGATGTGTAAGATTGGGCCTTGTGGTATACAACCGTGGGGGAAACAACTCGTGCCTTGAAAACTACTCCACAACATCACGGTCGCGGAATTCGGCTTGAAACAATAAAATGTCGGGCGGAGCTGGGTCATCTGCACATGGAGCGGTCTTGTACGCGATCAGGCAGAATCCGCCACCTACTCTCCTGGGAGGGCACAAGGCCGCAAGGGGTCACGCCGAGACGGGACATCACATCACAGAGGCCTCCAACCACGCCCAGCCCAAGCCAGATAAGGAATTTGCCGTACCTTAAACTTTGGTGAGATCAAACATGGCGTTTGGCCGCATCTCAACACAGCATGCGCACATGATTGAAAAGTGACGCACTAGCACGCGTGTTGCCAGCACTGCCGCTGAATTGAAACTTGAATGTGCACTAGCACGATCGGGCACAAGGGACGGGCCACCACCTTGCGGGTCGCATAAGTGAAGCGAAGGACCGTGCGTGCTTGACCACTGCGTGCGAGTCTCTGAAAATATACACGTATCTGTGGCATCGACCTGCGATGTTCCTGTAGACGCTTCTCGTGGGAGCAGTCTTGCTTAAAATGTGTAATAGCTGTGTATGCCCAAACGGCCGTCTCCTACTTACTCTGCAGCTTGAACTGGCGGCCCACGCTGGGGCCCTCGGATAGGGCGATTAGGGGCTATACGTGCAAGACTTCGGATTCCTGCGACTCGCCGATACCAGCGCTGCGCCCTACTGCTTGCCTTGTGCATGACAAGGCAGACTGTACGAGCAAGTATAGTCTTAAAAGCAACAGTTCGACACGGAGTTGCTAGGACACTGTGCCAGGCCAGCGAAAGATAGCTCTAGTATCACAATCGGGAAACTAGCATCCTTACTGTAGTCCACTGACGCTATGCGAGCATGCAAAGCGCGCTCTTGCACCACATGAAGAAACTTCTCGATCATGCGATCACGCTGTCGTATGGCGAACACGGCTTCGCGGCACTGCAACGCGAAAAGTGTATCCAAGATGATATGCAGATCATCTTCGCGGTAGATCACATCGGATGCCAGCACGATGTCTGGAGGACCTCCCACAACGGCCAGGACGTCCCTGACGTCGGAGACATTGCCCCAACGCAGTGCTGCCGCCTGGACAAGGTCCTTGCCAGAGCAATTTGCCTCGATGTTGTACTGCGCCAGGGGTACCAACCACGGCACGTCTGTGAGGGTGACGTGAAACCCTCGCCTGGCCAATACCAGGCCAGGGAGACCACAACCAGCCCCCAACTCAACAGCACGTAGGCCAAATGTCAACGGCCATGTGAGAATATGCTCCGAAAGAGTCAAGGACGCGGCCCACATTTCGGCGCCATGGCCAGAGAAGAAATTGTGGAACGGGTCCGTAACTACCAGAACATTTTCCGTGCTGCCACAGCTTCCTGCACCCATGAAGGACACACGCTGGAATTCCAAGAGTCCTTCAGAGACGTCGGCCAAATGCAATGGTGGCTTCTGACATGCCCACCAATTTGTAGGTGCCGCCATTTGCCTTTGCTTCGCCACACTGGTGGTCCAGTTAGCAGAGGGTGTCATGTCGTGCTTATCGATGCAGCCGCTGCACCGGAACTCGCTGGACACATCGAGAAGACGACCAAGCACCTGGGCTTGGCCGCACAAAAAGCAATCGCCCCTGTCCAACAAAGCTTCCATTGCAGAGGCAAGCGAACTGAAAAACTATACGCTGAACCAAAGCAGCTGCAGATGATGATGATGATGATGATGATGATGATGATGATGATGATGATGATGATGATGATGATGATGATGATGATGATGATGATGATGGTGATGATGATGATGATGATGATGATGATGAGGATGATGATGAGGATGATGATGATGATGATCCGATCAGCCTCGACAGTTGCTTGGCGCTGTCGGTCACCCGTAGCACCCTCGAGAAAGACAACGACTGGTATCACATTGTGATCACACCTCAGTGTTATACAAAATTCACGGGTTCCTCATACAGGACAAGCAAACGCCTAAAAGACGAAAACGTACTCTTATACCTAAGGAGGGCTGACAATTTACATCATGTTTCCAAACTGGTAGCGGGCCAAAATCATATTTCCGAGGAGCATCAAGCCGATTCGGTGGCGCACAGGACGGTGTGGAGACCACTCGCCGAGAGAACGTCTCCCAAGTTCGCCTGACCGCAGAACTGGCGTTATCTGGAATCCTGCCTCGCTCAAACTCCCCCCAACCTCCTTCCGCATCCTGTGGGCACGACTTGCTCGCATCTGTCTTCTCTTGCTTTTCATATCCGCTTCGAGAATCTTTTGGCTAGAGCCACGCGCGCTTGGCGCGTGCTGAGAGTTCAGCAGGCCCCCACTCTCGACAAGCTCACGGCTACACGCATGTACGTAGTCACGACAGACTTGAACACGACTTGAGGCAACTAACTCGAACGTGGACCGTTCAATGCGCAGCAATGCGAGGCAATGCGAAGCAATGCGAGGCAATGCGAGGCAAGGAATGCAATACACTGCAGTGGCAGCAGGAGCGCAATGCAAAGCATTGCCATGGAAAAAAACATGCGTTGCCAACGCAACGAACTTCAACGAGACGCAACACCTTTCACGGGAAGATGGAGCAAAGCAACCAGATGGCAGCGCCATGCGATGCAGCGTACGCCAACACAAAGCAAAACCTAGCTATCTAGTGCAACGCAATATCAGAGTAAGAGGGCCGCACGGTCATTCATTGTCCCTGGGTGCGTGGCTGAAGTGGGGATCCGTGGTGAGGATTCTGCTTGTTGCATTGAAATTGTTGGCTTTGTTATTGCTGCTGTTGCTGTTGTTGAATATTCGTTTTTGAAGAATAAGTATTGCTGATCTCCGGAAACGGTTCCGCGCGCTCTCGCCTCGACGCCGGCCACATTTTCTCTGAAAACGAGGCTCCCGCGCGAGCGTTGGCTTGAGTCCAAATGTGGGCCCTTGGAGGCCCTGTTACGACGACAACGGCTACCGCTCGATACTTCCTCACAATTTACCCCGAAACGCCCTGGCCAGAGATGCCCCCGAACTCAGGAACGGGGCTCTAGCTCAAGATTTCTTCGCATTTTCATCAAGTTGCCGGAGGCCCAACCACGACGACAAGGGCTCCTGCTCGATACTTCCTCACGATTTACGCCGAGAGCCCCTGGCCAGGAAGGCCCCCGAACTCAGGAACGGCGCTTTCACTCGAGACTTGCTCGTAATTCAGGTAATTTTCTGGAGGCCCAGACACGGCGACAAGGGTTCCCGTTCCATATTTATCCATAGGTCTTCCGAGAGCCGCTGGCCAGAGATGCCCCCGAACTCAGGAACGGCGCTCTCACTCGAGACTTCCTCGCACGTCAGTCAGTGGCCTGGCCGACAAAGATTCCCCCCGAAAAGGGGTGCAATCGAAGGCGAATGTAAGACAGAATGGGGTATCGAGGGTTGGGGTATGCAGAATGCAAGACACGCGTGCCAGTAAGAGCGAACAGTCCTACAATGAATGTTGCTGTTGGATGTTAATTACTAAACAGTTATAATTGCTGGACCCCTTACAGGCGCCCTGGCGCTCTCGCCGAGGCGCCGGCTACATTTTCATTGAAAATGAGGCCCACGCTCGAGCGGTTTGGGGGACCGCCAAAACCGGACCCCCAACAACAACAACGCTCCCACTCGAGACTTCCTCCTTGTTTACTCAGGGCTGGTGCTCTTGCTCGCCGCCGAAAGCCGCCGTCCTAACAAAACCAGCGCTCCCGCTCGAGACTTCCTCCCGTTTTACCTTGGACTGGCGCGCTATTATTTCTCTCATCCTCTCATCGGCGCCGCCCCCAGCAAAAACAACGCTCCCGCACGAGGGTTCCTCCCTTGTTTAACGGTGCTCCTCGCCGCCGAAAACCACCGCCCCGACAAAACCAGCGCTCCCGCCCCAGATTTCCTTCCGTTTTACGCTGGACTGGCGCCCAAGTCTCTTTTGAATTGGCGCCGCACCCAGCAAGAACAACGCTCCCGCTCGAAGCTCCCCCCCTCTTTCCTGAAGACGGTGCTGTTCCTCGCCGCCGACAACCCCCGTCCCGACAAAACCACGGCTCCCGCTCGATGCTTCCTCTCCTCTTACTCAAGGCGGTGTTCCTTCTCGCCGCCGAAGGCCGCCGCCCCGACAAAACCAACGTTCCCGCCCCAGACTTCCTTCCGTTTTACGCTGGGCTGGCGCCCAAAAATCTTTTGAATTGGCGCAGCTCCCAGCATGAACAACGCTCCCGTCTCGAGATTTGCTTTCTTGTTCCTCGGGACGGTGCTGTCCCTCGCCGCCGACAGCCCCCGTCCCGACAAAACCACGACTCCCGCTCGATGGTTCCTTCCTCCTTTCTCACTCAAGGCGGTGTTCCTCCTCGCCGCCGAAGGCCGCCGTCCCAACAAAACCAGCGTTCCGCTCGAAACGTCGTTTTTGTTTAGGGTGGACTAGCGCCCTACTCTCGTCAGCATTGGCGCCGCTCCCAGCAACAACAGCAGCCCTGCTCGAGACTTCCTCCCTTTTTATTCAGGGCCAGGTCCTTGCCTCGCCGCCGACAGCCCCCATCCCCACCAAGGCAATCCTGTCGTTCGATACTTCCTTGTGCTTTACCCTTGGCTGGGGCTCCACTGGCGGTCTTGCATCGGCGCAGCAAGACGCGGGCATGTGTTTTCGAGGCGGGATATGTTGAAATTCCTCGGAGGAGGTGTTTGCAAGACCTCATTGGGCGGGAGATCTGGGAATGGGAATAACGGACCCCGCTATAGAACAAGAGTCCCCCATGATGGGGATTGGATGGTTATCATGATGATCGCAGGCTTCGTGTGGAAAAATCGCGCATGAGGTTAACATGAGTGTTGTTGTTGCTGATGCTGCTGGTGTTGATATTGTTGTTGAGTGTTAATTACTAAGCAATTATTAATGGTGGACCCTCCCAAGCGCTTTGGCGTTCTCGCCTCGGCGCCGGCTACATTTTCACTGAAACTGCGGCTCACGTTCGAGCGGCTTGGGGGACCGCCAAAACTGGCCCCCCAACAACAACAACGCTCCCGCTCGAAACGTCCTCTTTTTTTACTCAGGGCTGGTGTTCTTGCTCGCCGCCGAAAGCCGCCGTCCCAACAAAACCAGCGCACCCGATCGAGACTTCCTCCCGTTTTACCTTGGACTGGCGCGCTACTCTTTCTCTCATCGGCGCCGCCCCCACGCTCCCGCTCGAGGGTTCTTCGATGTTTGACTCAAGGCGGTGCTCCTCCTCGCCGCCGAAAACCGCCGTCCCAACAAAACAAACGCTCCCGCCCGAGACTTCCTCCCGTTCTACGCTAGACTGACGTCCTACTCTCTTCTGAATTGGCGCAGCTCCCTGCAAGAACAACGCTCTCGTCTCGAGATTTGCTTTCTTTTTCCTCGGGACGGTGCTGTTCCTCGCCGCCGACAGCCCCCGTCCCGACAAAACCACGGCTCCCGCTCGAGGCTCCCTCCCTTCTTACTCAAAACGGTGTTTCTCCTCGCCGCCGACAACCGCCGTCCCAACAAAACCAGCGCTGCCGCTCGAGACTTCGATGCATTTTAGGCTGGTCCAGCGCCATACTCTCTTCAGCATTGGCGCCGCTCCCAGCAACAACAGCAGCCCTGCTCGAGACTCTCTCCGATTTGCCTCGCCGCCGACAGCCCTCATCCCCACCAAGGCAATCCTGTCGTTCGATACTTCCTTGTGCTTTACCCTTGGCTGGGGCTCCACTGGCGGTCTTGCATCGGCGCAGCAAGACGCGGGCATGTGTTTTCGAGGCGGGATATGTTGAAATTCCTCGGAGGAGGTGTTTGCAAGACCTCATTGGGCGGGAGATCTGGGAATGGGAATAACGGACCCCGCTATACAACAAGAACCCCCATGATGGGGATGGTTATCATGATGGTCGCATGCTTCGTGTGGAGCATCGCGCATGAAGGCAAAATGCTTGTGATTGTTGCTGTTGCTGTTGAACCCCCACTACTGACGAATAATTACTGTTGATCCCCACCTCCGGTGCACATTGAACTTTTTCAATTGAAGTGCCCCTTCCAGCGCTCGCACTCTGTTTCTTATCAAGGAAACTCCTCCTCCTCCTCCTCCTCCTCCTCCTCCTCCTCCTCAAACTGTGTCCCTGGTCCCCAGGTTACAACAATAACGGCTCCCGCCTGAGATTCCCTCACAATTTAGCCAAGACCCCCGCTCCCGCCTGAGACTTCCTCGCGTGAGATTCAGGAATCGCGCTCAAGCTTAGGACTTCTTTACAATGTATTCAGGAATTGCTCTCTCGGCGCTCTGGAATCGCGCTCTCGCTAGAGATTCGCTTGCAATTTACTCAAGAAAAACGCCCTTGCATTGGAATCCCACGCACTTTACTCAAGCGCCGCGCTCCCGACATTCAGGCACCCAGGAGTCGCGCTCACGCTTTGGACTCCCTCACAGATGACTCAGGAATCGGGATCTCGCTGCCCGTCGTGGCCTCGTTGCAGCCCTTCGTGGCCCCGTTGCAGCCCGTCGTGGCCCCGTTGCAGCCCGTCGTGGCCCCCATCGCTGCCCTTCGTGGCCCCGTTGCAGCCCTTCGTGGCCCCGTTGCAGCCCTTCGTGGCCCCGTTGCGGCCTTTCGTGGCCCCGTTGCAGCCCTTCGTGGCCCCGTTGCAGCCCTCCGTGGCCCCGTTGCAGCCCTTCGTGGTCCCGTTGCAA